AAGATAAATGGACTTAAGTCACTTTCAAAATGAACGGCTCATTTATGTATTCCCTAATTCAGGGTTTCCCAAACTTTTCGTGCAACGGAAAACTTTGTAAATCTTGAAATTTTCACTTTTCTATATTATAGTCAATAGAATTTAAAAAAATTACAAAAACTTAACTTTTCACAGTCCTAATTAAAAAACAAATACTAAACTTAGTAATTTCTACTGACATTATTATTCTATAACAAGAAATGTCACATCATTGAAGATAAAAAGGCTGAAATTGTTTTGTTAAATAAATAAAAAATTAGTAAACATAATGTTATAGTATCGACTAGACTAGACGATAGTCAATTTCTAGGTAAGATCTCAGATAAATACGTGCGATACAATTATCCAATCCGGATGTGGACTCAGGTATTTCTGTGTTTAGTTTTCGTGTGAGGGAGATTGTATTTGTTTTGGCTTTGTTTCCACGAAACAGTGTATATTGTGCAAATAGTACAAGTGTAATCTTTCCATGGGAGCGTCACGATCCGGAGAACGAATGATAAGTGGCATATTTCATTTCTGATGCCCGGAACGTGACCGGACGAACTTCAAGCTTCTTTCCTCTCTAATCCTGCCTCAATTCTCCCCAGATGTGGTAGCAGACTCCTACTCCTTCCTTCCTACCCTCCTCCGAAAATCTTACAATTTTAACGCATATAGTCTATATAATATGAGAATGTTTCTCCAAGAATACGAAAACATAAGTTTACTTAATATTGTCAATGTAAAATAAGAGATGTTTTAAATTCTCTATTATTCAGTTTCATCATGCGTCGTGGTGTTAATGGATTTCGAGGGGCTTCGAAAATTACTGAAACATTGACACAATTTCCTCGTGCTCTCCGCCGATCCCGTTACTCGCCTTAATCTGATTAGAATGATTAGATGCGCACATTACGTCGTGGGGCGGGAAATACGGCATCCCTCAACTTGTCACCAGCATATTTATGTTCAACCCTACGCCCAGAAACTACCCTACACAAAAAAAAAGAATAATGTTGTCAATTATTTCCCAAACGAATAACTTTCATTTTCGTTTTTTGTATTTCTCTCTCGTATAAACGATAAAACCTGGTTGTTATTTGGTGGCGGGTGGTAATGTAAAAAAAAAGGTTTTAACTTCGTTCGTGCGAGCGGCAGAAAGCGCCGTGTTTTCCATTAGTTCCGCTAATGCACGACGCATTTTACCACCATTTATTGCCAGACATCAGATATGTAATTATATCGCTTTTTTATGTAATCTACCTTGCGTATGTTCATTTTTTATATTATTACGAAGGAAGTAAAAAACGATTCGTCGTTGCGTGCGTTTAAATCAATAATGGAAAACAAATTAAACGCATGGAACGCTTTTTTTTAAACGTATTTCGTTATGTAGAAAATATTAAATTTGATATAGAAAATTTCACTTTTATTATCATTTAGTATTTACAATAAATGAAATAAAGTTAAACATTATTTTAATATAATGATGACAATGAAATCTATGAAACCTTTGTTTTATATCTTATCTCATCATATAAATAAGGGGATTTACAGTATATTTATTGTATAGATAATAAAACATTTCATAAATTAGTTTGTAGGGTAGTTGTTGTTGTTGTAAATGTACGATTTTTTTTTCTCTATTTATTTATATTGTGGGAAGACGAGTGAATGCAAGCCAGGCGCACTATAAAAGCGATGTCATCAGCAGAAATTATCACGTTCTCGTCGAACAAAGGGTTCGAGCTTAACTTGGTGCACAGCTCGAGAATGCCAGGGCAGGAGGGAGTCTGTAGTACATGTGTATAAATAGCAAACGGCGTGCGCGATTGCATCCCATTATTTTTACTGGCCCGGTTTTCCGGATTCCTATAGAAACCAGAAATTCGGAATTCGCGCGTTGAAAATGAAGGAAAGGCAAGGAAAGGTGGCTGTCTCCGAAGGAGTACGAGATGGAAGGTCCTCGAAGCCATCTCAAGATGCGAACGTAATATCTCGGTCCACTCAACGTCACTTGCCTCCGTTCCTCTCAGTATTCATACGGCAACCCCTCAAGTCTCCGTTCCTCCTCTCACCATTAACAGCCCCCCAACACACAGAGAGAGTGAAATCAAACACTAAAGATCAATATCGCAAGACAATTGCGTAACGCGAAACCCATTTCAACGAGAATTCATAAAACGGACGCGCACAGCGACGAACAAAAAAAAATCGTATTGCATTGGAAAATGGAATTATCGAATTTCGTGGAAATTGCAATCGAATTTTCGTTCGCGCGAAACTTCCTTGAAGCTGGGGGGATGCACGTGACGCGACACAATAAGCCGAATATATTTCCCACTTTATAGCGTTAAGAAAATAAGTATAACGGAGTGTTGGCGGTCTCATTTAGTGGTCCCAATTTCGTATGCGGCTCGTGTGGCTGCATCTCAAGCCTCCACCACCCCACATACATACTCACCACTACAGAAAATCCCTCAAAGGGAGAGAAAGGCGACTCCCGACGATCTGGCACTACTCCCCTGCTTCTCCAAACCACGCGATGAAATCGATATATTCTATTTTGAAATTGGGACACACGCAAAAATTGTGCATCTCATTGTTTTCCGTAATTTGATCAAATCATAATATTCATGAATTCACTTTCAATAAAACAATTCATTATTTACTCTAAATAAAAGTAAAGAAATTGTTCCCACTAGTCATTTATTTTCCATAACTTATAATTACGTTTATTCCACGTAACTTCGAGAACAAAGACCCACCGAGTCGAAGCGATTGTTAAAGACTAATTGCTAATTGTTACGTACTTATGTGATTTCCAAGAACGACCGCCTGCCTCTCTCATATTATAATAATAATAATAATTTACCTCGGAGTTCTCGTTCTCGTACGAAACGGCAACACCTGTGGTGCGAAGTCCCACACCGCCAATTTTCCCCATCCACATACTTTTCCCCCGAGGGGCGAACCTTCTGCAATTCAACAGGTTGAGCAGACTATCGTATTTATTATTTAACCGGCCCTTTAAATCCACAAATCACCATCACCTGTTACTTAAAACACGCTATTTTTCCGCATATTCATTACTTCTCGCTAAACGAAACCGTAAAATCGATTCGTTCCACAATTTTTCGCAATTCCCATTTTTAATGAAACCGCATTTCAATAGCGTAATTATTCAATGTTTAACTGGTTATGATTAGAATAAATTCACATTTATTAAATTCGAAATAAAACTATGTTGATAATTACAATTTGGGTTAAAATCGTGTTAATTTGAATATTTGAAAATTGTTTAAAAACAATTATGAATATACAACAAAACCTCGTACTGCTTCGAAAAGTACGGTTTGAAAATTCCAAAACAAACTCAATTTTAATGAACAAAAAACTTTGTATGCAGTTATAAAGTCCTTGATGGGCAAGGTTTCAAACAGTCCGGGGAATTGGAATTCTAAATTTAATACTTTAAAAAACGATCTGATATCCCAAATGATACCAGTAACAGTTATAAATATATGAATAATCTTTTTCCCAAATTTTCATAAACATTACTTATCAGAAAAATATCTAATTTCTGTTACAAACATAAAATGAATATAATCCAATTATTTACTGTACTTACAATTTTCCAGCTTAAAAAATATATATTAGTCAAGTTACTTACTGAATCCACTTCATGTGTATTTTTTGTAAGTGCACAGGTAAAAAATTATCTATTTTTGTTGATATGGAATAGTAGAAAGAAGTATATTTCGGGATGTGTAGGTGATGTTGAGGATATTGT